GATGTGTACATATATAAGCCGCACTGGACTATAAGCCGCAGGTGTTTTAATGTTTAATTACCATATGTAAGGGTTCGTGCACAGAGGGGATTGTCGGGAAAGAGATGGCTGTTTGAGGAAGCTCCCATTTATTAACATTTCAACAAACAAGTTGAATATTTGCATAACGTATTCAAGTGTTACCATTTAGTGCAATAGTAGCTACAGAACATGTACTGTGCTGTGTAAACTGTACTGTATCACATAGCGTTTCAGACACACAAACTTTTCAACTTTCAAACTTAAACGGTGCGCTCCCAGCGCACGTACCGGCAGTGATCTACAGCAGCGGTTTTCAACCAGTGGTACGGGGACAAACTGTCTCGCTCTCGTAATGTCTGTCTGTCTTGCTCTCGTTCTGTCTCTCGTACCACTCTCGGTTCCACTTTTACTTTTGCGCGCTACCTGTCTCACTCTTTTCCGGCCTCCAGCTTTTCCTGCTGGAGCCCGCCGCTTAAAGGTGGGGGTCCGCGGACCGGCCATAGAGCCCATAGAGTTAAAGGTGGGGGGCGCGGACCGGCCATAGAGCCCATAGAGTTAAAGGTGTTGGCCGTTAGCTGTAAAAATCCATAGATTAGCCGCACCGTTATATAAGCCGCAGGGTCGAAAAATGGGGAAAAATGCGCGGCTTATAGTCCGAAAATTACGGTAATTGTTCCCACACATTCTAAAAGTAAAGCTATGCGGCTGACTAGCACACATATTGTTAAAGAGCTCACTGACCTGGTTGGCCATGTCGTCCAGATGTTTCTCGTGCAGCTCTCTCTGGGCTTGTTTCCTGGCTTCCTCCACAGCTTTGCGTTTGCCTCTCTCAGCCTCCAGGAGCAGCTGCTGTCTCTGGGCACTGAGCCTGGAGTCCAGCTCCTCTGCAGTGACTCTCACACCGCTGGCCTCCGTCTCTGCCTGACAGGAAGCCTCAGCCGTCTCCTTATGTTCCTCTCTCCTAGCCTCCTCCAGCCTCTCCACCCAGGCCTTCTCCATCTGCACAGTAGCAGTAAAAACTTCAATTTCTGACGCAAATTCACTTAAAGGGAGTTGAGTGCTGAACAGTCATTACAGGAAATCCTACCTTTTGCAGTTCCTCCTCCCAGGCAGCCTTGGATAAGGCAACTTGAGAGTCCACTTGCTCCTGGATCTCCGTCTGCTTTTCTTTGGACCAGAGAGCTTTGAGCTGTTTTATCGAGGCCTCATGCTGAGCCTCAAGCTCGGCCCTCAGCTTCTCCACAGCTGGGCCACTCGTCTCTCGCATCTTGAGCTATGAACGAGAACCAAATCAAAAATGACTCAGTACAGGGGTCATCTGTGTTGGAAACAGACATCTTTAACACATTGCAAGTAGCAATACATTAAACGATTTGGCAATAATAGTAACAATTTTGTGTACCAGCTGACTCGACATACACAATGTTGATCAACACAAAAACAAACCAATTAAGTGTAGGAACCAACTGCTTCTGATAAACACATTTTAGGATTTGACATACCTCATTTTCTCTGATCAAAGCCTCCTCTTTCTCTTTCATGTCCTTCTCCTTGCAGACAGATATGTAACACTCTTGCACGGCCGACATCTTGTCATTGGCCTCAGACAGCTGTGTCCTGTGAACGAGTGATCAGTAGTGTAAATCAGTTTCAAGGGTTTTCAGATACCATTATATAACCACTGTTGAGTGAGAGGACTCACTGTAGCTGTTGGAGCTGCTGCTGGTGCTGAGCCGCCAGCTGCTCCACCTGAGCGTCATGTTCCAGCAGGAGCTCGGTTCTGACCCGGTCCACCACGTCGTCCCTGTACTGCTGATGAACGCGCTCATCTCTGCAGGAAGACACATAGAAACATATACATTTATATTAATGATCATTCATATTAACACATGGCATATTATCTTATACCCTTCCTCTGTGCCTGACCTCTGAGCAGCCTCCTGCTTCTCCTGGTCCAGCTCCTGGATCATCTCCCTCATCTTGGTGCAAAGCTCCAAGTTGGCCGTCCTCACCTTCTCCTCACTCTGTTTCAGCTCCGTATTCTTAATTTCTAACACCTAGAGGTTTGATAGAACACAGTCAGACTTCCGTCAAATAATTAACTAAATATATACAATTATTATTATGTTTAAAAACAACAACTGACCTCCACTTGTTGCTTCAGGTGTAGTTTGTCTTCTTGTAGTCTCACAAACTCTTTCTGAGACTCTCCTGTTAGGTCTAGATGTTTCATCTGACTGTTCTCTCTGACCTGGGAACACAGATGCAGTTTTTGGTGAGTCTTCTTTTGCATTGGAGCCACGTAATCTCAACTTTTATTTTTGCATTGTCTAATGGTTGTACCATACAATGTTTGAACTGTAACTTTCACGTCATTGGTTTCTTTTTATGCCGAAACAACTAGAACAGGAAAATAATGCTATATCTTAAACAGGCTCTGCCCTCTACTGGACTCTATGGGTACTACCTCTCAACCATTCACCTACTGAGATATCTATAAACAGGGGTGCAAACAACTTTCTCAGTGAGGTACTCAGATGAGTACCTGGAGTCAGTGTTTGGTACTCCAACTTCTGGCTCCCCTCAAAGTTCCCATGAAGCACTCTGTATCGGACCAACGTTAACAGCAGCCCTGTCTGTGCACACGGAAACCGACTCTGTCGTCCGGTGATCTAACCGCCTTCTGGAAAAGCTTCACAAGTACGTCGGTACGCAAATGCGCTTTGTGACACAAGTGACGGTACGCATTTCAGATTGTTGCCGTGCATGCGTACCACTTATGTGCACCCCTGTCTATAAACGTAGCCGGCACCCGCGCAAGCTCACCGTATAAAAGGCGGCCTCACCTCCTGACTGCCATCCTTTTCTCTTCAGCGAGCAGGATTACAACTGAGACGTAAACGGAGAAAAGAAAGAAATAATTTGAATGAAGATGGACTTCACCACTCCTTGAGCCCCGGCCCTGTCCTTCATGCCCTGGCTTAATCACGGGTGCTGATCCCCACGGCCTCTGCTTTGAGTGCCTGGGGCCTGACCACGCCGCGGACGGCCTGACCCAGTCTCCGGCCTGCAATGCCTGCCGCATGCTCCCACGGCTCAGCCGCCGGCATCGTCTGGAGCATTTTCAGGCATATTATGTCTCAGGACGGGAGCGATTATTTGGACCGCTGCATTGGTCAGATGAACAATCTGATCCATGGTGTGGCTGCCGCAGTTGGACGCGTGATGTCCCTGGCCACGCACTTCCTGGTTCCCAAGAAGACAGGAGAATTCAGACCCATTCTAGATCTCCGCAGCCTGACTCAGCACATTGCCTGCAAAAAATTC